CTGAACAAAGCACAGCTGCGGTCGGCAGTGTCGCTGGCGACGTGGTTCCACAAAACGAACTGAAATCATTCAGGGTTTCAACGGCGTGTGTATTGCAAGTGCCCGCGGCGAACGAATTGCAATCAGGGCCATTGAGGGTTTAGGGTTTGGGGTTTAGTGCTCACCCGAAACCCTAAACTAAACTCTAAACCGCAGGCTGCGGCTGGGGCGGCGAGCAGTCTTGGTGCCGGTGTAGTGGCACGGTCGACAACATGGGGAAACAGATGCAAGAACTCACACCGTCCACATTGCGAGTTTCGGCACTTGACGGAGAGATTAAAGTCAATCCCGTCTTAATGTAATATTTGTTTAAGCTCTTTTTGCGCTGGCATCATGTTGGCAACTTCGAGTGCCTGAGACAGAAAGTCGGGAGCTTCCAGCAAATGCAAAGCTGAAAAACGGCCCGCGCTAAGTTTACATGTCAATGAATGCTGGCATGCACAGCGACATGGGTAGGACAGCAATGGCCGCGCCAGGCCCTAAACCCCTAAACTCCGAACCCGAAACCCCTAAACTCTAAACCCTAATCCCCTAAACCCATAAACCGTAAACCCCTAAACCCTAAACCCCTAGACCCTTTGTTGGCAGCACAGGCATCGAACTTCTTCCCCGCCGGCACCTCGCCGAAGGACAGCCGGGAGGCGGCTGTAGAGTCGGCCTGGAAACTACTCCTTCGTTTTTCTTTGGTGCTGTTGAGAAGAGATAGGGTCTAGGGTTGAGGGTTTAGGGGCTTGGGATGAATTTTGATGGACGTGCTTATTCCGATCCTCTGGTGTAAAGCTTCTTTTTTGTTTTCGGGTATCTGGGTGCGACTACACGGTGTTTGGTGGGAGTGTTGCTTGAGTTTTTTGGGTGTATGAGGAAATCCTAAACCATTTTCCGGCTCCTTGTCACCTCTAAACATGCTGATCTATGCTTGGATGATGCAGAGCTGCCTGCAAGTCTCCTAAAGCTGAAGAGAGGCTTGCGGTTCAAGCATATAACTTATACGCGCATCTTCGGCTTCCCCACTGAATCGGGGCCATCTAGCCCAGGTGTGCACCAGATCCATGCGACAGCAGTGGGCCTACTGAGCTGCCATTCCCCAGATAAGGTTTCCACGGTTTCCTAAAAATCCAAAGGCCCGCACTCCAAACCCAACATGCCCAGTGGCTTGCAAGGAGTCTTCGTTCAACTTCAAAGCATCGGCGAGAGCCTTTGGCAGCGCATCGATAAGGAACACAGGGGATGCCTAAATCTTGCTAAGTGTCTAGTTTGAGCCACAAAGAGCTTCCTGCAGCTGAAAGAGCCTTGAATAGATTCTGAAGCACTAGTATCGGGGCCTTAACAATTACACATACTATTTTGGGGATTCTTTATCATAACAATAGCATAACATGCCCCCAAAACCTATTCTAAGTACTAAGGCCCCTATATTATGCAGGCCCTTTGAGCGGGCTCGGCGGTTCGGTCAGGGCATCCGAGCCTCCGGATCTTAGATTCAAGATTCTGTTTAGAATAGGGGCCTTAACAATTAGGATAGGGTTTTGGGGTATCCTATACTATTGTTATGATAAGGAACCCCAAGATAGTATAGGTAATTATTAATCAAAAGGCCCCTATATTAGCGCTTCGAGTTTAAGTTTTGAGCGGCAGGTGAGGTGGAAAGTAGGTTGAGATCAGACTGTGTCTGCCTATGGTTGTTATAGTAAGTCAGCAACTGACCCGAGGATTGTAGACATACCTGTTGTAAAGCCCCAACCCGTCAAGCTCCATCAAAGAACCCTGAGAACCCACAACAGCTCTTCATCCCCGACATTCCCCCCTTAAACACAACCCTGGATGAGGGTTCGCAAGAAGGAGAGTGACCTTCCAACTGAGAGTTTTGATCTCAAAAAACTTCAACAAGTCTCAGTTTAGACTGTTGGGTTGGGATGTAGGATCAAGGGCTTTGGGAGTTTAGGGTTTGTTTTACATTCAACGCTTTTGCATTAGCCTGTACAGCCTCCAGAATTAAGGTAGAGCCTTGTATAGAGGATCCAGCCCACTAACACCACCAAAGGGGGTTCAGGGTTTGGGCTCTGCGATCTAAGGGCTTAGGCTTAACACCAGCCAGCAGTGATTCAATATTGCTTCGTGTCCCGGATAATCCAGAGTAGAGCGCGTGGATGAGGTGAGGTGTTCAGTACACCCGACTGCTTCAACAAAAATGCAGAAAAATCACGAACATCGCACATCTTCATGGAAGCTGATTACAATGAGAAAGGCTGGTGCAATGCATATGCAGGTCGCAGCGTAGCTTCTCTTGAAACGATCTTAAACAAAGCTCAATCAGTCCAGCAGCTCCAAAACCAAAACCGCGGCAAACCATTTGGGAGTTTCCGAACATTAGGGTACCTTATTTTGGGGTCCTTATAATAAGGATCCTATCATTCAGGGTACTATATTAGGGTCCCCTATTTTCGGAAACCCACATTTAGAAATGACCCGTTTATCCTTATATGGCCGTCAAATTACTGGTCAGTTGCGGAAGCTTCTGACATTTCGGTGTACCTCTTATAACACTATGTAACCCTTATACAGAAACCTTACAAAATAAACCTCATAGCAACGACCAGCCTCGACCGCCGCTGGGTCCCCGTCGCTGAGCTCGATGTGCTTGGCTTCCATGCTGACCTCTGGCTCGTGCTGAGAAATAGGGCTTAGGGTGCTATATCATGGTATATCATTCCCCTTTCAACTTTCAGCAATCGGTGTTAGCTCAAAACCCTTGACCTTAAGGGGTGAAGTCGGTGAAGGTTCGGCCAAGCATGGGTTCAAACCCTCTTGATAAGCCAAGCGGCAGCAACGATGAGGCCAGGAAGGCCCTGGCCAGCGCCTTGTTCCAATGGTGCAGCATCAAAAAACTCAATGATTTAGTGTTTAGGGAGTTGAAGCTTGATGGTTCGGGCTCCGTGTTTCAAATCAAACGCTGCCCTGGGGCCCACTTCCAAGACGCGGCGCCGGCGAAAGCATCGCGGGTGTCTGAGCGCCTCGGTTGCATCGAGATGTCGATCGCTCAAGTAATCGTCGTCATCGTGGCCACGGTCGTGGTCGCAGATGTCGTCATCGCATGGCCGCGGTCTGGTCACCATGTTACGGATGGTCATCTTCATCACGATCACACTACCTGTGATGATGATGATGATGATGATGATGATGATGCTGATGATGACTCCGGGAATCCCACCCGGCCCTCTTCTTGATATCCCGCCCCCACCTACTTTATCTACATTACTCTCAGCATCGCCGATCTCACCGCGATCAACACCGACAAACAAAAAGCATCAACGATGAGACCACAACCACCCTTACGGTTGATGATCCGAAACTACAAACTTGAATCTATCTACCTAAACCCTAAACCCTAAACCCTATCACTGCATGCGACGGGATGCACCCAGCATGTCAGGGCTTCTGCAGCGGCAGAGATCCGAGGCGAGGCGGGCGTCCGGCGCAGGCGCAACTGCAGCAAAGAGGACTTCTGAGGCATGTGGGGTCTCCTTTTCGGGTGCAGATTGCACAACCCTAAACCCTAAACCCTAAACCCCAACCCTAGATTACAAAGTTTCAGGGCGACTAGCTGTTTGAGGGAGGCATGTGGGATCTCCTTTTCGGGTGCAGAGTGAGTGTACAGCCTACTTGGAGGGTCCTGGGACTTAGTAACTAGGGTTATAAATAAGGTAACCATAATACCCCCAATTAGGATACTTATAACCTTACTTACTAAGTCCCATGATCCTCCAAGTAGATTATGAAGTTTCAGGGCGAGTAGCTGTTTGAGGGCTACGACCCTAGACAGGCAATGAAGTGTCGGATAGCAGAGTCCCAGAGCTCAGCAGGTACCGCTTGGAAGGAGCAATCGTGGCCTCTTGCCTTCGTTCTTGGATGTGCTAGGTTCAATGTTGTAAAGCCTTAAACCCTATACTCCCTGTAAGCCCTAATCACTGAAAGCGGGACTTTCGCTGCAAGGCCCTTTTGTTCTTGAGCCTTTGGCTTTTTTGCTCCGGGTTGCAGCACCTTGTGGCCGTCGCAATCGTAGGTAAACTCCTTGTAATCCGCGTGGTCCACCTTACAAGAACTGTGCTAGAAGGCTCATTGGGGGGGGGGGCCCTACCTAGAGTAACTCTCGTCGCAACACATATTACAGGATGTATAACCCCAAGTCTGACAACCCATGAACCTCCACACAGTGCGAATGGTGCTACAAGATCGCTGCAGCAATTTTCGCCAGCAGCATCGTGAAGCAACTTGCGCTCGGCCCGTCCTACTTTGAGCTTCTGAAGGTCCTCAACCTTATGTCACAACTTGCGTTTTCGGTGTTGAGCCCAACGCAATGCATGACAGGGGAACATGCAGCTGCACGGTTCTAGGCTCCCAGACACACTGCCGGTCGAAGAGGCCCCAATCAGACCGTCCTGTGCCCAATTGCGTCAGCAAAGATTTCCGGCTTAGAGCTCTCGGTTCGAGGCTTCGAGAACCACAAAGCTCGTAGTGTTGACCACAAGAGGTGCATTGGCAAAGAACAAGTAGTAAGAAGATGGCTTCCTGGCAAGGAGAACCCGAGATCTCGAAGCACAGCGCAGTAGGATCTCTTTGCAGGAGAGAAGGCAGAGTATGGGCTCCATGCTGCTAGAGAAGCTGTTCACGCTTCGAGCAGCCGGTGAAGGACTTGAACGGGCCCGTGATCCCAAAATTTCTAGGAAACTAGATCCTGAACCTAAACACTCGAACGGTCTGAAACCAAGGGGTACTTCCCTGCATCCTACATATTGCAATAGAAACCCTGCGCACATCTGCGGATCCAAAATCGAAACAGCAATTCTTGTAACTACCCTCTTCTTTGGTTTGTACCGTATAAACATACCTATCGTCTCCATAGCAGTTCCTTTTTGGGGGTACCTTCTAGAAACCTTCATATATATATATATATATATACATATAGATGTATATATATATATATATTAAAAAAGGAACTACAATGGAGACTATAGGTAAGCCCTATACCCTAAACCCCTAAACCCTTAAACCCTTAAGCCCTAAACCCTAAACTTTAAGCCCTAAGCCCTAGGAGAACAGGGCACTCTTGGGCACCCCGGGCCCCAGGCCTTCGATCTCGGCCGTCGGACGAAGCGGCTGCCGCGGCGCCGGGGCTTCCGGGGGCTCCGGCAGAGGCGGAGGCAGCGCTGCCTGCAGCGAGCTTTCTGGGTTTAGGGTTTAGGGTTTTAGGGTTAGGGTTTAGGGGGCTTCAGGGTTTAGGGTTTAGGGTTTGCAGTGTGGGGGTTTGAGGGTTTAGGATGTGGGGTGTTCTAGAGAAACAGAATCAGAGGGGGCGGAGAAATTCCCTGCACTTGATGCCGGATCCAGACATCACACTTCTAAACACATTCTCTGCGATCAAGCTTTACGGCTGAACCATGGAAACTTTGCTAAAAAGAGTACGGGGTGCAGCGCGAGTGCTGCTATCTCGCAAGCCTCTGAAGAGCAGTAAAGTGCGTCCTACATACCTTGGCAACCGAAAGCAGAGTGGCCGTCAGAATCAAGAACATCCTATAGCAGTAAGGCCTGTTGATAGTCCCCATTAGCCCTCATCGCAAGCTGTCCGGCCTCCTCTTCCTGGGCTTGCAGTCGACGTTCACGTCTTGCCAACAGGGATTGGCTCCTTCATGTGAGCTAGCAACAGCCAGCTTTACAGACATTGCAGGAACACCGACAATCCAAGCTTTCAAGAAGCTACCAAAGAATTCTTGGCTGGATTAAGTTCGATGTGGCATACTCTGAGGAGTTTTCACGTGTTGTAAAACCCTGGAGTTGTGTGACTTCTACCCCAGGTCGGACAGAGAACCATCGCCGCCACACATCGTTTTCCATAAGGGAGTACTATTACTACTACTACTACTACTACTACTACTACCACTACTACTACTACTACTACTACTACTACTACTACTACTCCTATAGTCGCAGTTCTGCAAATCCTCCATCCCTGCAACCGAGCCTTGCGCGGTGAGCTGCTTGTGCCTGGTGTGGTCGGCAGTCGTTCTAAGGCTTGCAGGGTAGGCTCCAGGTTTCCTAGGGTTCAGGGGTTTAGTTTAGGATTCTGAAGTTGGTGGTTTAAGATTGAAGGTTTATAAGGGTGGATCAAGGGTTTAGGAATGAGGATTTGAGGTGCCAGAAGAGACAAGACATTCAGACGAGTTTGTGAAATCACCCCGGTCAGACGCGGGCCTTCACCCGCCGACGCTCAGAACGTTCGGCCTCGCAGGGGGCTCGCAATCTTTGCAACAGGGCCAAGGGCTCAGGTTTAGTGCTCATAGGGTTTAGGGTATTTTTTGCTAACTCGGGCCCTTTATTTTCCACCTTGCAATGAACTCCCCTTAAAAAAGCCCCACAAGGTTTGGGGTTTAGGGTCGAGGGGTGACCACTGAAGACTCAATGACTCAGGGAGCTGTGATGGGGCGTTCAACCTCCACGTTTTTACAATTCCTGAAGCCCATACTTCCCCGCTCCGAATGCAGAAAAGCCCCCCCAACGCCCAACACGCTGACTCCCCGAAATGCTCACGACCCCCAAACCTCTATGTGGTAAAAACAAAAACCTACAAAATCGCTCATGAACCCTCTCATGAACTCACAGAAAAACCATTTAAAACCCAATAAAACCCTTCCAACAGTATAGAAAACCCTCTCTTGAACCCAGCCCTAAACCCTAAACCCTAAACCCCCCTCTCTCTTCCGGGCTCCTTCAACTGCTCTGCCGCATGTCGTTCGGCAAACTGCCGACGAAGCTCCTGCACGGCCTCCGTGTCTTCGGCCTCCTTTGCAAAGAAAGCTTGTTCCCAAGGACTCCCCCCAATATCCCCTATATAGATATAATATAAGTTCATTGTAATCTAATTTCATATAATATGATATAACAAATATATGAATATATAACATATATATACACACACTGTAACATATATTTTTTAACCTCTAACTCATGTTCAGGATGTCGCCTGGAACTTAAGGTATGTTCGACTATTCCTTGGTTTTGGGATCGTTGACGATTCTGCTTTCAACTTAAAGCGGTTTAGGGTTTAGGGTTTAGGGTTTAGGGTTTAGGGTCTCAAAATGGGAGCCTTGGGGTCTCAGGCTTTTGGCTTTCAGGCTTTGGTGCTTTTCGGTTCCAGGTTGTCTGTATACGCTTGCTAATAGGAGGGTTGTTTGGCTGACAGAAACTCTACCGGGATTCTAGGGCACATTTGGCGTTTCTCCAAGGTTTAGGATTTAGGCTTTTTGAACAACGGCAGGTTTGATGTTTGACATAGAAACCTCTTTTGGGTAGGTAGTGCCTTTGGTAGAACTGTCCTGGACTGTTTCCGCCTTCATTGTCCGGTCGGTGCTTCAAATATTACAAGGTCCAAGCAAACCGAATAGTTGCGTCTCGATGTCCTGTCTGACAAAACTGTCCTGGGTAGGTGGTGCTGTTGGTAGCGGCTGTCCTGGAATAGTTGCGTCCCTGTTCTCCGGTCGGAGAAAACTGTCCTGTGTTTGGCGTGCTTGTGGAAGCTGTTCGATCAAAACTGACGAAGACCTACATCCCTGCATCCTCCGCGGGCACGGACAGCTTCGCGAATACCGGGAAGCCTGCGTCGTCGTGGGGGATCCAGGACCGGATTTAGTCTTCTATACAAATAGGACCGCATCGGAATGACGTTTCTGGACAGCATAGGAATGACGTTTCTGGTGACCGATGCCTTCTGTCAGAGGGGTTCTGAGGGGGAGCTGGGTATTTCAGCTGCATGAGGGGGGCTGTGGTATGGAAGCATGCTTGACACGTACAGCGAGAAACGAACGATGGATGCGGGCAAGAAGCCGGCCTGAGGCCGGAGAAATATGCAAACAACCTCTGAAGTGCCTGGCTGAGGCAGTCTTGAATGACTATCTACTTCTCATATAATATGCTTTTATAGTCCTGACTTACATATTACGATACAGAAGGAAAAATCATAAATAAATACAGGATATTTACACTTACCGTCCTTACATGCTGAAGCGCGTTCACAGCCCGCCACCGCAGGGCATCGGAACAGAGGTGCCGGCGAGGTGCACTTGGAACTTCGGCCGATGGCCTGCTCTACGTCAGCATCGTACTCCGTCGAAACCTTCAGAGGAGCTTCGGGCTTAGGGGGGAAACTTTGGGGGCTTGTTGAGGGTGTAGATAGGTTTTATATGATTTTGGGGTGCATTGCTTTGCCATGGTGTACGTAGGGATGATTTTTTTAGGGTTCTGGTAGGGCATCGCTTCAGGCTTTGGGGTTCAGGGCTTTGTAAGGCTTTCAACAAATTGGGCTCAGGACCTTCAGTGGTTCTCAGTTCTCCGTAATGCTTTCGGGCTACAATCTAATAGGAGCCGGTACCATTACGAGCGGAACCTTCTTGAGGCCTCCTTTTTATTGCGGACTTCCTAGTTTGGGGGTTTAACGAGCTCAGGGTTCTCAGGCTTTGGTTGGGGCTGCTCAGGGTAGCTAAGGTTGAGACTTCAGGAATTGACAAGAAGCCGAGCGTCCTACAACAGAGTTTAGTGGTTTAGGGTTTAGGGGTTTAGGGCTTTAGGGTTTAGGGGTTTGGGGTTTAGGGAGCATCCTCAGACACCAGAAGTCCAACACCAACACCCAACACAAACTTCTGGCTTGCAAACCGCGACAGTGAACCTGCCTCAACACTGCTGCCTAAAAACGAATGAACTATCCCAACCCGTATCCCCGACGGCCCAAAATCCTAGGCCGACACTCAGCCCCGGAGCCGAAAAATCCAAAACAACACACGCGCACCTCCACGGTAGCGAAAACCGACTTGGCCGTCGAGAGGAACTTCCTAAGTTGCTTTGCCACAATGCCTTCGGGGTGTGGGATCTACTACTGAACAAATGGCAGGTTCACCTGTCTAGGCACATATCGGGCTGATGGCTGCAAGGCATGAGCGAGTTGGTTTTCAACACTCCTACAACCGGACCAATATCTCAAGCTGTCCGTGGTGAATGGGCAAGTGTAGCAAACCGAATGGACAGAAACACAACAAATGTCAACAAACCTTTCCACTTGGTAGAGCACAAGAACAAGCTGCCGTCGGCTTGCGTCAAAAACAAAACAGACTACCTTCTTCTAGGAGAGAACTGGAATGGAGTTCGGAAGTCTGGCGCGATTGCAATCAATCGCTTGGACCAAAAGGCATCCTTTATACTTACTGCGTGCTACTGTCCTCATTATTGGTAGTATTACGATCAAAAATTCTAGGACTATTTTACTATTTGTTGCTAGTGTTATGACTTCCGGACTCTAAACTAGTTGACCGGGCCCAGCAACTCCAGAGAGCCATTTCGGCGTGAGGCGAAGAGCAGGAACTGGCCTGCAGTGAGGCTTAGAATTTAGGGGTTTCAGGGTTTAGGGCTTTAGGGATTCAGGGTGTAGGGTTCAGAGTTTTGAGACGGAGCAGATCTCTCTCAAATTCAAGTCCTGCGGAGCATCCCGACAAAAAGCATCGCAATAATCGCTCACTTGTTAAAGCACTGGCTGCAGGGTGAGCAACCTCTAGTGTAAGCAACCTCGACAACATCTGCTGAAATGAAGTTCGTCATTTCGCATGAAGCCAATAATCACTGAAAACCGCTGCTGCCCCGACTGAGGGTCGCACACTGGTTCGATTCGGGATTAGGAATTACAGGGTGCTCATCTTACATACACTTAAGACTTCTCCAAGTGGCCCGAACCTGAATGCCACACCCTGAACCACTCGACACTTATCAAGTGGCACATGTAAAGTCCCACTCGGCAGAAACATTGGTGGCCCTCAGGACACGATTTTGCAGTAATCTCTCTCCGGGATGGCTGAACCCCAACTTGAGAAAAGACAAACAGCCTGAGACCCTAAACAACAGCACATGTTAACCTGAAAAACCACCGTCGAACCCATCCAACTCGTAAGATCCCAGCCAAGTGCCAAAAATCAGATCGGGCCTCTGAGCCCTCTAACACCGCCAGCCTCCTGGTCGCAGCACTCTCAGCATCATCTCCAGCAAGGCCCAGTGAAGATCCTGGAAACGTAATAGAAGGGACTTAATCATGGGACTAGGTTTGTGGATTACAGACTCCCTTATATTATAGATCGAATGCAAAGAAATGACTTAATCACTACAATAGGGTTGTGGGTTATTTCTAGTATAAGTTATCGGAATAATGAGGACCGCTACGGGATACTGGCTTTTGGTCAAGGCAGGCTCCGGGTTTTCGATGTTCGGGGAGGGGCGATGGGGCGAAGGTTTTAGGTCTGGTGCTTGAAGCTGTTGGTTGGGTTTTCAGGCCTATACTATACGACTTATCAGGTTATTGCACTTGTGTTGAAAAGCCTTCGGTGCTCCACGTCCTCGAGATAAACAACATCGGCTCCGATGACCACGTCGAAGGAGTGGCGGGGAGGCCACTGCTCCATGCGATCCTCAAAACAACAAAGAAGAGCGAGAATGACAGTAGAAAGAAGCTTAAAGGCTTATATTAAACCTAAAACTGGACTCTGTGAGTTCCTGTATCCAGCTGTTGAGCCCGAAATCTGCATATTAATAGGAGCGTGCAGTCGGCCTATTCCGATCGATGGCTCCGTTAATTCTTCGACAGCGACATGTTCAAGGCATGGGTTGAAATTTGGGATACTTGGGCGGTTTGCGGCATTACTGCAAGCCATTCGTGGTGGTGCTTCCCCGCAAACAAGCTCGGAAAAGAAACACAACAACCAATGCTCCAATGCAAGCGGTAACAGACTGCATCAGGAAGCCACAGCCACCAATGCACCGAAAGCACAAGAAGTCCCCGGGCCTCAAAACAGATGCCCAACACCCAGCAAAGCGAACCTCCAAAGCCCCGAAGCTCAACACCGCCTCCGCCATTGAAGCGCTGACGCCCAAATCCACAGAAGTCCCGTTCCCAACCAAAACCATGCCATACGAATTCTATAACGCCCTTTGAACTCCCCCCCTCCAACTCTGAGGCACAGACCCAGAGCACTTGTTGCACGGCCACCAGAGACTCATCGAAAGATCCTCTATTCAGCTGCAGGGAGGTCTCCAGGACGCGGACGACCTTAGGATCAGCCCTCTGCTGCGTATCCTTCAGTGCCAGATTCTGCTTGAATTGGGTGAGTGGGCATGCTGCTGTGTTCTACTGAGATGTTCGAGTGCTTTTCGAGTTCTGCGAGTCGTGTGATAGCCATGGATGTTGCCGCTTTGTGCCTGAAGACCTTATTTCTTGCAAGCTGGAGCGCCATCAGACGGAACAATAGAATTGCCTTTGCCGGGCTGGCAGTCTTGGGTGCGTGAAAGCTCTGATCTCGAAACGGATGAATATACGGCCGAGACTGGAGTGTCCCTGATTCTGCAGACCTCCCTATTTTCAGTCTCTGCTCTTCGATGCGGAAGGAGCGGCCTCTGGATCGCCGTCGGTCAGCAGCACCTGCAGCCGCGACGGTGAGCTTGCCACGGCAGCAAAACATCCATCCTACACGGACTGTGCTTAGGCGCTTAGATTCCTTTTTCGGAATGGGCCTGAAGCCGCTGACAGCACTTGCAAACAATGGCTGCTGTTAACCCACGCGCTCTTTTTCGACACGTGACATTGGCGAACCTTTGCTATGACGTTGACTATGGGCTCCAACATCGTGTCCGAGCTCAATAAGAAGTGGGGGTGCCGTACTATGCCACCGTAGAGCGAAGAACCAGCATACCAGTATTGGAGCATAGTTCAACACTTGTCCGTCGTCCGTACATGTAAAGTCCGTCACACTGCTCCGGCCAGTTGAATGGAATCGAAAGCCACGACTCGGAGCATGTGGGTCAGCCTGCACCCTACGCCGCTGCCCCCACCGATTTGCGCTGGCGCACAGCTGCCGACGGTCTCAACTTTCTACGAGCACTGTGACTGCTGTCGTAGCTAGGTTCGTCAGCCTGCAGCAAACTGAGGATGTCAAGGTCTTGTCACGCGCGCTCCTTCCAAAACCACAGGCCGCCATTCTTCGTCCTGCAGCCTCTCTCCCACGTGAAACCTGAACCCCCAGTCCGAAGGCGGAGCCTTCTGCCCTCTGCAAAGGCTCGATATAATGTAACTCTTTACACCAGTATGCACTGCTGCAGCCTGGATTGTAGGGAAAACTTGCCAAGGCTGCTGATGTGTCTCGTGACGTGCCTGCACAGCCTTTCCGTTTCTTGGCTGCCACTTTGTCCCTTGCCTGAGAGAGTGTGCGTGTTTCCGGTTTTGCGACGGTGTGGCATACTCCAGATTGCTCAAGCGGTTGTTTCCAGGGTTGCCGTCTATGTGGTTAACATGCATGACTTCTGACTGTGGTTGGCCTAAGAAAGTTGCCGCCACTAGCCGATGTACCGAGAGATTGCGGCCGGCCGTTTGTACGACGCGGTATCCGTCAGGCCTCAGATATCCAAGCGACATGCGGTGGCTCTTTGCAATGATAAAGCAGACGCGGCCATGGCTACTTGCCATGACCCCAGGAACTGCAGTGAGTGATGATTCGCGTGGATACTTGGCATCTTCCCAAACTTCACCTGGCTCGGCTGCTAGGCGTTCGGCAGGTACAGATTTAAACTCATAACACGCAGAGTCACTGCAGCATTTCGTCACCACACGACGGCAACACTTACTGACTTGACTTTGACAAAGTCCGAAGAACCTTGCTGCTTCTGTCTGCGAAAGGAATGATGACCAGTTCTCATCTCCACACATGCGCCCAAGCACAGCTTTGGAAGAACCGCCATAACGATACTTGCGACGATAGTGCATTGCACAAGAATGCTGCACATTCTGCCGTGGGGTCGCATACTCAAGGTTGCTCAGGTGGTTGTTCGATTTGCAACCATCGAGATGGTTCACTTGCCATTGTTCTGCAGATGGTGGCCTGCCAAGAAATGCGGAAGCAACAAGTCGATGGACGTAAAAGTTCTGGAAGTTGATCTGGACCGCTCGATATCCTGAAGGGCGCAAGTGGCCGTAGCTCATGGTACCTCTTGATGATCGAACGCGTCCAGCGGAACTGACATACCACGTGCTTCCACCGCATAGGAACCCTGGAGTTCGGCCGTTGTTGTCCAAATTGGAAGCCAACGTCCCGCATGCACGCATGCCCAAAAAGGTCCGCCATCTTGTGGCAAACGCGACTGACAACATTGGTGGGCTCTCGGTGCTGGCTGTCTTGTTTATCCTGCTGTCATGACTCGAAGGCTTCCAAGAAAGAGAAGAAGTACCGCTTCTTCTGATCTTTTCAACAGCTCTGCCGAGGCTTCTAAACTCTAAAATCTAAGGGCATCTACCGCCAGTATCGGGAGATGCTTCGGGCTCTCTGGACCCAGATGATTCCTTGAAGCTCGAACGAGCGCAAGCCTGGACACCCCCCTCCTGCTCTTGAAGCGAGACCTTTCAATGCAACAGCCCGCGATGCGGACGCTGGTTCCAACCATGTACACTCCAGAAACGAAGCATCCAAACCAGACTGGCTTCAACAGTCTGAACCGAAGCTCAAGCTGTCGCCTCTCGGGCACTGGTGCAGGCCCCCACCACGAGGCCGGCGAAACCTTGGCTTTGGTCGCTCCCTCGACGTAAAAGCGTGTAGCAGCAAAATCCTACAGTTGCAGCTCGAAGGTTCAAGCTTCAGGTCACAACCTCACCTCGGCACCTCAGAACGATAGCAAGCCTGAAGTTTTCATGAACAAGCGGAAATCTACCCACACGAGCTGCCTCTTGCTATCCGGTATAATAGGAAGGAAAGTGAGGGCATCAACAGGTATTTGCCCAGTGGCCGAGGCCAGCGCCCACGACCAGCACACGGCGGGCGTGGAACAGACGAGGTCCTACAGAGGGACGACATCTGCAGATGCAAGATGCTCTGCATTGCGCCTTGTGAAAAGTAGCTACCTTAAACGGAGCCCCAACTTAGACAAATCTCAGAGGCTGCAGGGACTTCTTGTTCTAAAAACCTCAATTATTGGGGTTTCCAGGCTCTCCCATCGCATGCCGAGGACCTGCTAAACCCAAGGAGTCAAAACGTAAACTCAGACCAAAAACCATCTGAGGGGTTAGGTTGTGAAGCTCCCAGCAATTTCTTCCAAGCGTCTTTTGAGGATGAAGGTGGCAAGCGCCTCCTGGCAGATTCACAGCATTCATGCCTTATGTTTCGGCTTACACATCAGGATTCTGATGTGGGCAAGGCTAAGACATGATTAGGCTGATAATGTACCCCAGACGCAGCGACTGTGGAAAGAAGCTTTAGTATGAAAGTAGCAGCCGGGAACTCAAACCGCATACCCATATCTCCTATCGTACGACCCGCATTCCGTACCATCGGATCCCAGTAGACTGCTTGGAGGTTCATGGGCAGTTAGAAAGACGGGATTACAAGTCCCCAAGTATTAGTTTGGGTTATAACTATATAGCTATAGTTGCCCTACATATAACCCCGCTTAGCCCGGAGAGCCCTTCCTCGGAGGGCGAGATTTTCCGCGCAAAGTCGCCATGCATGAGCCTCGGGGGCTCAGACTTTGGGAATCGGTTGAGCCTTAAGCGTAATCCTTAGAATAGGGATGCTAGTAGTCATTAACAATATTAATAGCAGTATAGTGTTTAGGGGTATACTGCACGAAAATATCTTATACTGTAGTCACAATAAGAACCCTAAAGAATTGAAGGTGGGGGTTGGGACTCAGAGGTGATGCTCAGGAGTTGCGCGTTTTGAGAGTGCGGGAGACCGCATACTTCCTGGTTTGGGGGGCAGAGTTTTTTACACTGACTTACCGAAACCATATTGGGCTCATAGGGGTGGGTACGGCTATTCGGGGGGCAGTGGAACTCAGGCTTCAGGTCTCATACACCGCCTGCCTGTGTGGATATCACCTTGTCACGCGTTCTTGGTA